CCCTCCCCCGCCCCCACCACACACACAAAGATCCAGCTTAGTCTTTAAATTCCATTTAGACTTTTACTGTATTTTATTTTTTACATGTTCACTTTAACATTTACAAAATACATGAAATAGTCATTCTTTTTATAAGGCTCAACACTTGTTTTCCCAGACTGCTCCTTTTTATTTTTATACTGTATATTCTAGTTAGTAAAACTGTTGGAGCATCTTTTTGAAGGATCTGTCTACCAAGAAAATGTGTTCCTTTTGATAAAAAAAGAAGCAGTTTTTCTTGCAAAAACGTGATACAAGAAGCCCTAAAGCTCCTCTTTTCTTTATACTTTTTAGAAGTTTTTGACACGAGTTTTCATGGGTGTTAAGCAAAAACCACCAGACTGAGAAACGGCTTCTTTCCAGAAGCTGTGAGACTCAAACTCAAACACYACAGATGGACGCGTGACACATTATCTGCATGTTTGCTCAATTTATATATGTATTTTTACTCTTATGATGTTGTTGTTTGTTTTGTTTGTTTGTAACCTTTTTTTTTTATTCATCGATTTTTTAAATTGTATTTATTTTTTTTGGGGGGGGGGCCAGCTTGGACTTTGGGTACGCAAGTTTGTTCCACCTCATGTAAAACGTCTTGCGAATGACAATATTCTTGAACTTGGAAATCTTTCAGGTCCAGCCAGTTATCCTGAAATCTGTCTTTGTACCATTAAAATAAATCTGTTTTTTTTCAGTGCTTGCTGTATTGATTTGTAAAAGGCTTTCTTGTTTTATGCAGGCGAGCCAAGAAAGTACGATCCCAACTTCAAAGGTCCAATCCACAACAGGTTAGGCAGACATTACTGGTTGTGGTTCACAACTAAAGGTGTCTTTTTAACATTCAGACTATCCTCTTTTATTTTAGGAGCTGCACAGATATCATCTGCTGCATCCTTTTTGGCATTGCTATAGTGGCTTATATAGGTGTTGGAATACTCGGTAAGGATTTATTCATTTCATTAATTCTAAAAAATACATGTTATAGGCTTTGTGTAAATTTTTTTCTTGTAACAAACTTTCAACGTTTGTACGTCCAGCCTGGACCCATGGTGACCCGAGGAAGGCGATATACCCCACGGACAGTCGAGGCCAGTTCTGTGGGCAGGCCGGCACTCCACTTGGGTGAGTTTACTCTTGTGTAGACCTATAGATGGAAATACACACACATCCCACTTCCACCCTGTCAAACCCCCAACATTCATCCATTTAGTTTTTTTTTTAAGGAAAACTTTATACGATCATACATGACACCATCTTTGGATGTTCACCTGTACACTAACCTTCAAAAATCTGTAATTTTTTTT